AGGGTTTAGGATTTCGGATTTTGGAGTTTCAGGGTTTAGGATTTAGGGTTTAGGATTTCGGATTTTAGAGTTTCAGGGTTTAGGGTTTGGGGTGTAGGATTGAGGATTTAGGGTGTATGTACCCGAAGCCTGCGGCATGCATGTCTGGCCACCGAATGCAGGAATCGATCTCTCTCGATCTGCACATATGTACATGTACATGTTTCCTTTATGATTTTGGGTCGGACTCATAGCTCATTCTTTCCCTCCCTGCTACCGCTCAACCCTAAACCCTGATTCCGACAGCCCGGTGAACCCTCCACCCTACATCTTGAACCCTACACCCTGAACCTTAAATGCAGGGGGCTATATGGGTATTTCTCAATATAACCCCTATATGATCCCTTAAGGGTATATAATCCCTTAAGGGGCCCTATATAATCCCTTTATAATCCTTCTATACCCTTTGGGGTCCCTAGACCCCCCCTTTTTTGAGAAACTCCCATATAATCCCCTGTATAAAGCCATGAACCATGGATCCTGAATCAGGAGGTGGTGGAGGCCGACTTTAACGCTGAGACTAATCACATCTTCAGCGGCGTGAAGATTGATGAGGCGATGGTCCAGCACTACCACGACTCGATTCTGGGTACACGGTTTAGGGTGTACCTTCTTTTTTTTGGGTTTGGGGTTTAGGACTTAGAGATTCCCAGAATGGGATTCTAGGGTGTTGTGCATGGGGTCTGCAATGATTCGATTCTGGGCTGCTGTTTAGGGTGTAAGGTTTCGGGTACAATGACCCTACAGGATCTGCAAAGAGCACCCTTACAAAGGGTTCATTCAATCGGGTATGTCAGATAATATCCTTTACGTAATCCCCAAGCGAAATCTTCATGATCTCAGTAAACATACCCCTTGTGTCCTTACTAGTTTCGAGACCCTATTTTTCTTTGTATGATGATTCCATTGCCTTAACCTCAAAACCCCTAAACCCTAAAGCCCAAGCACCCTGAACCTTAAACCCTAAACCCTAAACCTTAAAGCCTTAACCTGAACTGGAACCCAGGATTGAAACCTTGGGCATTGAGTGCGGGGATGTGGCAGAGGCCACGGAACTCGCAGATGCCGAGTCCGAGACGCTGCAAAAGGCAACCAAACCCTAAACTGGGAAACGGTTTAGGGTTTAGGGTGGGTCCCCTTTAACGGGTTTTATATGGCCTAAATAGGGATATTTTAGGGTATATTGGGGTTGTATAGGGATTCTGGAAGAGAAAATGGAAGCTGCTATTTAGGGTTCAGGGTCTAGGGTTGGGGGCTTAGGGTTTGGGGTTTAGGTTTTTTGGGGTTCAGGGTAATTTTGGTTTTAGATCCTAGGGCTTAGAGCTTGGGTTTTAGGGTTACGTTGGGTCCGAGGGTTTAACACGTAGGGTTGAACCCTAAACCCTAAACCCTAAGCCCTAAACCCTAAACCCTAAAACCCTAAACCCTGAAACCCTAAACCCTGAAACCCTAAACCCTAAACCCTAAACGGGGTTGTGATCCGCTGCAGGCCACGAACCACGCACATCCTACCAAGTTCCAAGCAAACCAAGGCTCTTGGGGTGATCTTTTGCTACTCAGGTTTGTGGGGTTTAGGGGTTTAGGGGTTTAGGGTTCAGGGGTTAGGGGTTTGGTGTTTGGGGGTTTAGGGTTCTAGGGTTTAGGGGCTTGGGGTTTAGGAGTGTAGGGTTTAGGGTCTAAA